GGCCTTTTGCCGGTCGGATTTGCAAGGAACAGTCGCTTAGCCTTCCTTTCTGGAGGCATTCGCAACACATACCCAAGCCATCGCAGCTGTGATTTCTCAATCTGGAGAAGCAAAGCAGTAACCTTTCATAAAAATTTTATTGAATGAACTGAATACTTACGAACAACAGAAGACCATTACCTAGCTATAACTTCGCTGTTCTTTTGACGTCAACAACTGTGCAGTGTCTTCCAAGATGACTCTGAAATATTCCCGGCTATTGAGATTTTACTCAACCACGTGACCTTGGTTATATGACCATAGGAAAAGTTGCATAGGTCACAGAACGATTCATATTGCTAGGGTTATTGTAATACCTGAATTCAGGTCAGCTTTCAAGGGTCGAAGAAGTTGCGGATGAAAGTTACGGTCAGATGTTCAAGTGTTTCTACTTCGTCTTGGTTGCAAGCAAGCCAGCCGGTGATCACAGAGGGTTTATCGTTCAGAAGGATCGAATCATCCACTCCACGTAGACAACAAAGACCATTCCTGTGTTTCTTAGCATATTTAATGAAAGATCCTTACAGTAGATGCATTAAATTAAAACTGTTTGTGCGTTGCAAAAATTAGGAGCTTTTGTCATCGTCTTTCTCAAGTTCCGCCGATCATCGCATAGTCGTCCGGTCTCACTTTGTAGGCACAATCTTCGTTCAAGGTCGCAGAATTTGATTGACATCGTTTTCAGGAGCAAGTTGTAGTCGAGCAGGCGACTTCAGTGGCAGACGGTTGATTGCCATTGAGTCAAATTTAAGCGCTTGTACATTTCATTTCCATTTATGTCGCTCAGAAGGCTTCTTCCAGCAGGTAGATCCACTGTCATTTTTGTAGTTTTGCTGGAATAAAAAATGTCCTGATAACAAAACTTCTGGAATACCAGTAATAACGGATTAAAGACAATTACGCGCAGCTGAAACGATGCATTAACAGAAATAGGCAAACAGAGATGATAATTTAAATTATTATTTAATCGACCAGCATTCAGGAATCACGTAGGTTTTTTCCATCACCAATGTTCCGCCATTCTTCTATGATTCGTTCATTATTTTGCCACACTGATCCTTGTACAGACATTAAATCGTCCAATTGTTTCAGAGGGCGACCCAACGGCTTTTTGCGATCCTGCGGGTGCCACTGAACAATAACAGCTGTCCATTAGTGGTCACTGAACCGAGTGACGTGTCCAGTTGATGGGCCTGTTCATTTCTCGGCTTCCCACGATGATATCCGATAACAGTATAGAGGTCATGATCGCGGAAAGAAATTCTCATTATCTATCGTTTTATATTGCTTTCCGTGATAATTAGGTGAGGTTCCCCTTCTTTGGTCAACGATCGTGTTTCACAGTAATTCAGCATCATCACCAGTACGATTTCGTTGAAGACCTAGGTCCGTATTGTTCTTCGTTCTTCAAATTGGGATATCCTTGAAAAATTGTTCATGCGTCACATTTTCGTATTTTGATCACATCACATGTTCCCGCTCGAAATAGATGTAACTTACCAGTTATTCTGTACCCTCACCACTAGCCCTCATTTGGGCCTTCTAAAACCCAACCTACGACATGTACATCGTCTTTGATCGATTGACTGTTAATCCGACTGCTGCACTCTTTGACGAGTCCATGAAACATTTCTTCGAGTTCAGTTTTACCTTCCGCAATCATCAATAAATCTGACATGACTGATTATGTACAGTTTAAAGTAAAAAAAATTAAATTATAAACGAATTACAGTAAACAAGATGTCAATACTATATTTCTGTCTGACTGGTTCGTCTTGCGTCGATGTCGTATACTTTAAATTGTCTTCGCTGTGGTTTATAACTTGCTTCAATAGTCCTGTGTAAAAAGCAAATAATTGTTCTGTTTTCAGAATTGTATGCTGATCAAGTGGCCGAAACTCTTAAAAGCAGTCTTTACGTTGAAACGTGGCGGAACGGTCCTGGCAACCTGCCATCATCCTGTGAAGGCAAATACAATGTCTTGAACATCCAGACCATCAAGCTGCCTTCAGAAGTCGAGTTCTTGACAAACCGCGACCATTCGAAATGGGCAGTTTCGAAAGTAGGAAGAAGCAACAATAGCAAATGGGTGTGTATTGGTGACATCAATCGACAGGCACGTGATGACTACGCAATTCAGAATCACTCGACTTTGTTT